GGGTGCTTGGATGAGGGTCGTGTTGTGGTGGTCATTTTGAGGTTTGTTTTGCATGCGGGGGTTGATGTTTTGGCTATGTGAGATGTGGGAGGGTTCGTGGTTTGTTGAGTGGCTGCTTGTATGTGTGAGGTGGGTGCGGTTTCTCGGTAGGGGCCCCAGACAGAGCTGTCGGTTATGGGTGTGGTGTTTGTTTGTGGGATGGTGTTTGGGTGTGGTGTAGGGAGGAGTGGTTTAGATGCAGGTGTAGCAAATTTTCGTGTTTGGATTTTAGCCGTGTCTATGTTTATGTGTTTGTTGGCCTGCTGGGTGAGTGTGTGTCTGTATGGGCATTGGTTTGAGAGTGAAGTGTGTTGGGTGGATTTGCAGTGGATGCACCAGGGTGTGCATGTGCCTGGGCAGTCTGTTTGTGCGCATTTTTTACATTTAGTTTTACGGTATGTGCATTGGGAGGCAGTGTGGTTGTATTTGAGGCACTTTGTACATTGCTTGACCTGCTTTATATAGGGTTTGACTTCTAAGTTGGTGTGGGCTCCGAAGGATATGTGTTTGGGGGCTTCAGGGAATTTAGCGGTCTTTTTGAAGTTGATTATGACAATGGAGGTTGGGACCGTTTTTCCGTTTCTAGTTGAGGTTATTCTACGCGTGCTGGTGATTAGGGGTTGAGGGTTTTGGTCTTGGTTTATGTTAGCTTCTAGAGAGTATAATTGTAAGTCCTCAGTTGTTTCCCTTGGGTTAACCCTAATTACGCCTCGTGTATATTGTTGCCAATTAGGTGTTTGTTTGATTACTGTGACGTGGAATATTTGAGTTATTTTATTTGCTGCGTTGTAAGATTCTCGGTTAGGGAAGATTATCTGGTATCCTTTGTTGGCTTTTTTAATATTGTTGTAATTTATTTTTTCTCTTTTAAACCAAAGTCCTATTTTATCTGCCGAAAGTTCTAGTGAGAGAGTGGTGCCTGAGCCTGCTGAGAAGAAGTAGGGGGCGAAGGTGGTGAGGAAGGCGGCCGGGGAGGGTGTGGGCGATGGAGGTGGATTGGATGTGTCGAGTTTGCGTTTTTTGGTGTTTTGAGGTGGCGAGTTAGCTGGTTTGGTGGGGGTGGTGTGTGTCGTGTTTTCGCCATACTCGGTCGGGACGATGTTTTCGAGTGACCTCCCGGAAGTGTTGTGCGCTTCCGCAGGCGTGGGTGAGTTAGGAGCTGGCATGTCTGCGAGTGTGGCGTTGCGGGTGTCAGTCATGTTGTTTGGAGAGTTGGAGAGTGTTGTGTTGGGTGGTGGTGGAGTGGGAGTGGTGTTTTGGGGAGGTGAGTTGGTTTGTTGTTTTTACTTGGTGACTTGTGTTTAGCAGGCGGAGGAGGTTGCGGTGGTTATTTGTTGTTGGTTTTAGTAGGAGGGTTTGTGAAATGGATTAATTATTAAAGATTTTTTTGTTGTTGTTGTTGCTGGAAGGCTGGGATTAGGTGAGACAAGTGGAAAGCGGGGATTAGGAGATATTTAGTCGAAGGAGTGGAGGTATGTGAGTGGTGGGCGTGGGTGGTGATTAGAATAAAAGAACACAAGACCTCAGTACAAAAAAATGACTCAAAATCAGCCATCTCCGACCACACCCAAACCCACCCCGATCACAACATCCAGTGGAACAACACCAAGATCCTGGCCAACAACCAATCAGACTACAAAATCAGGAAACTCCTAGAAGCCATCCACATCAAAAGGATCCAGCCAGCAATGAACAGAGACCAAGGCTATTACATCCCGCCTGCTTACCATCACCTAATTGCTCAATCCCTTTGTCCATCCAATTAATACAGTGGCTTCCATCATCTCCATCAGTTAGCTTTTTTACTCTGCTAGTATACTCTGTGTTCATCAGTCATCCACTGGCTTCCAATTAGCTTAATCACCTCTCTGTGCCCATCAACTAGTCACTGTAACAACCTAGATGTCAATAAGTGTATATATAACTATGTTGTTTAGCCCTATCCATCCCTTGCTTGATAAAGGTGTTAGGATCTACACCGAAACGTCGCACCAATTGTAATAAAGAAGTTGTTCATCCATAGAACTCGTCTTACTTTATCACTCCAACTTCTAAATGCCACTCAAAGAAGTTATCTCAACAGTTAGCAGACCCGTGAAGATTCCGGGTTAGATTGGTCTACAGCAACCCATGCTTGCCGTAAAAGGTGACCATGCTTGTCGTAAAAGGCGACTAACGGGATCGGGTGGTCAGGCTCGCTGACTTGGTTTGATGCACGGTCATCAATCCCAATTGCATGGGTTGATGCACATGATAGTAATCACTGGATTGTCTGGTCCAGACTCGATTATTTACAGACCGCCGTCATGCAGCTGGAATATTGCTGAGTGCGGCGTTAAACAACAAACCAACCAACCAAATCAACAGCCAGCAAACGATTGGTTTCCTGGCAACATGGGAGAGGATATATATCGACATCGGTTCTTCCCATAATTTACAGTTTCAATAAACATAAATTTCGATAACTGCATACATCTTCAGTTAGCTATGGTATTATGAAGGTATTATTGGTAAAAGGTTAGAAATAAATACATAAATTGCAACTGATTTCGTCTCATCAGATTGGCTGAGACGTCAATGCCTTCATGTTTCGATAACCCCGACACGTAAAGTTTTGCAAAGATTGCACACCAGTTTTATACGTTTATACTCCATAAACTCAAAAACATTAAAATATATATATATACATTTACATATTGGGAGGCGACTGTGCTTGTCGTATGAGGCGACTGACGGGATCAGTTGATCAAAATCTTTTCTCTCATATTAAGCTGACAGTACTGAAACTGGAGTACTATTCAGATCGGGTTGAACCCCAATCACTCACGACTATGTCCACCCGTGAAGATCCGGGGTAGAATAGGTCTTAAGCAAACTGTGCTAGCCGTAAGAGGCGATTAACGGGATCGGATAGTCAGGCTCGCTGACTTGGTTGATTCATGTCATCGTATCCCAATTGCGTGGATCGAAGCTCATGATGTCAAGCACTGGATGGTCCAGACTCAATTATTTACCGACCGCCGGTGTAGATGGAATATTGCTGTGCGTGGCGTTAAACAACAACATAACATATTTGGGTAGTGTGAAGCTAGTCTTTCTGATGCCAGTAAGAAGGTCTCTCTGAGGGGTCACACAGTGCTGTATATGACATGCAAATATTGGGGATATATAGCCAGGCAACATGTATTTAGCAGCTACATGGGTCAGGTGTACGTTATTCCAAACTGTTGCCAAACCAGACATTATATTATAATTAGTATACACTAGTTACATATAGATACTATCGACTTATATTACAAGTGAAAATTGCAAAGAGCAGTTATTACATGGTAAAATGAGGATGTGATGTGATAAGTCGTGGATCGCCGTGGTGTCAATATTACAGCTTAACCCGTACAGCACTATGCACGTCTACCAGCAAAACTGACCCCTGAAGATCCGGGGTAGAATAGGTCTTCAGCAACCGATGCTTGCAGTAAAAGGCAACTATGCTTGTCGTAAGAGGCGACTAACGGGATCGGGTGGTCAGGCTCGCTGACTTAGTTTGCATGTCATCGATCCCAACTGCATGGATCGATGCTCAGGATGTCAATCACTGGATTGTCAGGTCCAGACACGATTATTTACAGACCGCCCTAATATCGCTGGAATATTGCTGAGAGCGGTGTTAAACAACAAACACACAAACAAACAAACACACCAGCAAAACTAGCCTGGTACCAAGTAAGATCAATCAACTCCCTAGTGTTGAATTTAATCCCGGGAGAATAGGTTGAAGGAATATTGATGAACTATCAGTCTTGTACTATTGTGTTATGATGGCACTTGTAACGGAAGACTAAGTCAATAGCTTGTTTAAAAACAGTCAATACATAGTTCAAACAGACGAAGGGATGGGATAAGTTGTATGCACTTTGATCTCGACTCCACCGTGGTTGTTGACAGTTGTCTAGATGTTGCGTTGGCAATATTGACACAGGTGGATTTGTTACTCGCCTTCTAAGGCTAGTCTTCAAAAATTATATGTGAAAATATGCAGGATGAAAAGGACTGGGCTAAGCCAAATACAATGTACACAGGAACATGACCACCATCACAATTATCACGAGGAATGAAAGACATATTGGCCATGTGGCATTGTGATTGTACATTTCTACCATGAATTAGAAACTTAGAAACTTAGAAACTGAAGTCTATAGACCTGAATCGTAGAGACTAGGCATCAGTTACATCCGTGCTATTTATTCATAAGAATCGTGCCAGTGAATATGCTTTAAGAATCTTTAACTGACGCTGATATTCTGTATCAATTTTAGGACATGACTTGGAAAGCTTTGAGGACTCGAGGAATTCGAATATCACGAATTGTCGAAACGATGAAAATATGAAATCCAGAGGATATATAAAACATATATACAAGTTTCTTAATTACAGTAAATTGGTGCTTATTATGTATGTTACCTTAATACGCTCAATATTATAAACTCAATACGTTTTCACCTGATGAAAGGGCTAGAGTGAGTGAGTTGGGTTTAACGCCGCTTTTAACATTATTCCAGTTATATCGCGGCTTTTTAGCATAATGTGAGAGGAAAGCCTGAAGTGATGCAGGTCTCAGACGTTTAGCCCTTCAGTGAAACCAACGAGCATGGGTATGGTGCTGTCAAACCTAGAAACATAATCGAGATTCGAACCCACAAACATAGGTTTCTGGCGTGCCCAAGGGACGCAACTCTGCACATCGAATCGCGGCGCTTCAACCCCAGACGACTGATTTGTGATGATTTCCCAACCCGCCAGCACCCCCACCCACCTCCCACACACACCTCCCACACACGCAACCGCACCCACCGGGATTCCGGGTTACAATACGTCACTAAGAGGGTCTGGTGGTCATGTCAGATTCAGCTCGAATATTGCTGAGAGTGGCTTTGACAAGCAATTAAGCAGAAACTACTTACCGTGATAAGTGAAGACCAACGTTAGTCCGAGCAGATACTTTTGAGGCACCATCGTTTTACGTCACTGCAATTGAGAAACAATACCGGAGTCTTTGGGATATAAGTATCAGATAGGTAGTTTTTGGATTTTTTATTGTCTTGGCTAGTTAAAAAAAACCAGTGAAAGATATGTGTGTATCTCGTTCTTCATTTAAAGAAACAAAACATGTTTTGTCTTAAAATATCAATGAAAAATATTTCTATATATCTGTTTTCATTTCAAAGAATTTCCAGCGCTAAAAAATACTTCTACATAAAATACTTTGATATCAAATATGAAAAATATTTAAAACGTCGCATAGTATATAACTATCTTAGAAATCTTATCTTTTTTCTTCACCATATTTTGCACATTGATAGGTCTAGTGATGAACTGGTGCCTTTGGATAGTTTTGGATTTTTTTTAAAAGTTATTTTTCGAGTTTCCTTGGCAACGACTTTGATTTAGACTGAAAATGGAGGTAGTCCTCGTTTCCGGAGCAGATCTTGAAAAACGTACTATATTTCTTTACAAAAAGACCCAGTGAACATAGTTCACAGGAGCTAATGCATTGCACACACCCGACATGTCATATTGGCGGGGGATGTGAGTATTTCATGCTTGTTTATACATGTATCCATTAGAATATACATAACATGTGTAGCTCGTCACTGTCTCGTTCCTTTAGGAATATTGATGTGTGCGGAAAAAGGCAACATTGACATTATTTTATTTTATTTGTTTGTGGCGGAGTCTACCGGAAGAGCATGGTAAAAGCTTACCAGGTTCGCAAAAACCTGGTATCATCACTGACTTTCAGAGATCCATCGATACATATTATGACGCTATTTTGCCTTTTACACCTAATGGAAACTGGTTCGGCAGAAAATCGAGACTGGAATTGACGTTGAGTTTTTTAATTAAAAAAAGATACAACACCTCAACGACGTTTCTATGAATTGAATTGACGCCGAATATCAAAATCAAATGTCCAATCTGAACCAATAATGTCACAATAAATCCTTGCACACTCTATGTATGATATTGAAATGTAAAATATTATGGAAAATGGAATAAATAAAATATTTATTTTTTTTTAATTAAAATTAAAAATATATATATATATATATAAAAATATATATAAAAAATAAAATAAAAAAATAAAAAATAAAATAAAATAAAATAAAATAAAATAAAATAAAATAAAATAAAATAAAATAAAATAAAAAACCAATGTCCAATCTGAACCAATAATGTCACAATAAATCCATGCACACTCTATGTATCATATTGAAATGTAAAATATTATGGAAAATGGAATAAATAGAAAAAATAATTTAAAAAAATAAATAAAATAAATATAAAAAATAAATTAAAACAATAAAAAAAAATATAAAAAATAATAATAAATTATGCCTGAACAAATAATGCCACAATAAATCCATGCACACTCTATGTATGATATTGAAATGTGAAATATTATGGAAAATGGAATAATTAAATTAAATTAAATTAAATTAAATTAAATTAAATTAAATTAAATTAAATTAAATTAAATTAAATTAAATTAAATTAAATTAAAATTAAAATAAATAAAATAAAATACAAATCAAAAGCGTCAAATATTAAAACTATCAAACCATATTTGACCATACTTGCCTCCGTGGTTCTCCTTGATAGTAAGACTTTAACTCTGAGGTGACAGCAATGATATGTACGAACCATGTTCATTGTACCTCATGTTCCCAACAGAGCAAAGAAAACAATGGCGTCACGTTCATGCATATTTATGTTAGGAAATGATAGAAAACCGCGAAAACAACTCATAGTCATTAGCCAGTACATGCAAACACTATGTTCTAACGGCACGCGGATGCACACATCTCGTTATATCTGATTATGTAGAAACCTGTTAGATCTTCAGGCGCAAAGTAACAAAACTACAATTGGATGTGGAAAATAGATTGAACCTGTATTCATTCTTTACTGCTATAATGCGCATATATAACTCGTCAGGAAATAAATAGTAACTGTTTGTTATAACCGTTTAGTCCCTTGAAACTATTCACTGGCCTTGGTAACTATTGTTAAATCTCACATACTTGAAAACAAGCAACATAAGTAATCTCTGCCAAAGGCGAGTCAAGTGTATGAATCGATTGGTCGGTTAGTTGGTTTGTTGTTTAACGCCGCACTCAGCAATATTCCAGCTATATGATGGCGGTCTGGACAAGACAATCCAGTGATTGACATCATGAGCATCGATCCAGGGAATTTGGATACGATGACATGCATCAACCAAGTCAGCGAGCCTGACCACCCGATCCCGTTAGTCGCCTCTTACGACAAGCATAGTTGCCTGTCACGGCAAGCATGGGTTGCTGAAGACCTATTCTACCCCGGATCTTCACGGGTCCTTTGAGTCGATTGTATAATTCCGACTATATCATGGGCATGTATTCAAGAATCACAATCAAACAGCAGCAGTGATGTCAGATGTTTGCGAAAAGGTGAACGTATCCTGCCCCACCGGTGGCACTCATCACAAACACAAGGCAAGGCAAGACATTTGCTCACCTGAAAAAAAGGCAACTCAATATTATCGCGGTATCACTATTTTGTGTGTGATACATGTTTATTATGTGGTTTAAATCACTTCCCGTTTTGGATTATGGATAATCAGTATTCATACGACCTACGTTTGGTCAAAGGACATCGTCCAAACAAGTAGATTCCTTTCTAACCAATTTCGAATTGAGGTAGGGGTAATTCCACTTCATAAACATCCCAGAAACTATCATACAACTTAACGTGTATACTTGACATGTAGCAACGAGTTCTGTATTCGATACTAGTTTTGCATTAGTCAACAGTCGACAGGGAATGTAGATTACGAGATTTAGCGATACCGCAATAATATAGAGCCTGCGATAATATAGAGCAATACTATACCAGTAGTCGTAATTGTACAGTGGAGATTTATTTTTATGGTTAGGTTTTGTCGCTTTTATTTAGCAATACAAGTTTGGAGAAAACCATTTTGTTATTAAGTGATAGGAAATGTATGCTGAATTTGATGCTCTTATAACACAGATAGAAAGTAGATAGAAAATACTGAACATAGGACTCAGGAACATAAGGCTTGCAGGTTTGGATATATAGTTCTAAGGTATGACGGAAAAACAAATGCTCCTGTAATTCACAGAGGTCGACATGCAGCTGTGACGTTCCTAAAATCTCTACAAAATGAAGAGAGAATAATCAGGGAAAATGTATCGCATAAGAAACCCATGTCCATGTGTATGACAAAGGATGATTGCCTATAAGAAGGCAACAAGTCATATTTGTAATAATTCTGGGATTCTGTAAGAGATCATTTTAACATCACAGGTAAACGTAGAGGAGCCGCATACAATGAATATAAGTAAAACTTAAAATAAATCCCAGTACCAATCCACGTTGTATTTCATAATCTCAGAGGATATGATTCTCATCATGCAAGCTATCAAAAAGACTGATGGCGGTTTAACGTGTATTCTTAAAAGTATGGAAACATATCTATCATTCTCTTTTACTTAAATTATACATCATACAGACAAGGATGGAAAAGCGTACAATTTGTTATCTTTTTTCGGACAGTTGGCTAATGCAAACAATCCTGATGACTTTGCTATAAGAAATCAATATACTGATTATAAAACTCGACAATTGTTGGTGAAGGTATATATCACTATGAAGATATGGATGATTGGTCCAAATTTGATGAAACTAAATTACCACCTGATGGATCGTAGTCCTAAATAACTGGTGCTGATTATAAACGTGCTCTTAATGTGTGGGATAAATGAGGCTGTAATGCATTATAACTCGCTAATTTAAGATTTAAGATATTTAGAAAGAGCTGTTTAAATTAATATGATTTGGTACTATTCCAGTGCCAGGCTCTCGTGGGATGATTTGTTGAAGAAGACTAATGTAGAACTAAAACTAATTACTGATTATGGTATGCACTTGTTTATTGCGAAAAGATTTAGGGGTGGTATATCAATGGCAGCAAAAATATATTCTAAGGCCAATAATGAATTACTAGGATATGATTCGAGTAAACCACTACACACATATCATATCTCGACGCCAACAATTTGTGTGGATGGGCTATGAATCAACCTTTACACCCAGGTTGTTTTTAGTGGGAATACGATGTTGATGTGAATAATATTCCCAAAGATTCTGATAAAAGGTACATACTAGAAATTGACCCCACAGATTTACATAAACACCATAACATTCATCCGCCAGCTCCAGGAAGATTGATGGTTAATATAATAGAGATGGGATGTCTGAATATCAACATAACTTGATGAGAAAGACTAAGTTAGCTGATTTTGAAAACCTTGTACCAAATTTAATGGATAAGACAAACTATATAGTCCACTTTAGAAATCTCATCTCCGGATATATATATATATCATTAGGTATGACACTAAAGACAATACATAGAGTTCTTAAGTTTATATAAGGCTGAACACAGATTAATGAAAGAAGGCTTCTAGTGATTTTGAAAAGAATCTAGCTTACACGGAACTCACAAATGACTCAGTAGTTGGTAAAACAATGGAGAATCTAAAGAAGCGAGTTGAATTCTTGACTTATCAAAACACTTAATGTATGACTTTTATTACAATAAACTTATTAAGAGATTCTTTTTAACTGAAAAACAAATCGATGATGCATATAGAGATATGGAAGAAAAAATACATATGTAGCAGGATCACTCGGGGTACATGGGGTTTTAAGTCCTGCGTTAGGTTTTATACCACTAGCCGGAGGGCTTTCTGCGTCCTGCGTTAGGTTTGATACCACTAGCCGGAGGGCTTTCTGCGTCCTGCGTTAGGTTTTATACCACTAGCCGGAGGGCTTTCTGCGTCCTGCGTTAGGTTTTATACCACTAGCCGGAGGGCTTTCTGCGTCCTGCGTTAGGTTTTATACCACTAGCCGCAGGGCTTTCTGCGTCCTGCGTTAGGTTTTATACCACTAGCCGGAGG